AGTAGCTGACGGGAGTAGAAAGCGATCGGGCAATCCCCAGCACGAGCCTCGACCGTCCCATCCTCCGCGATGGTCGGGGAGTAAGTAATGGGACGACTATCAGTGGAGGGAAGTGGTGGTAGGATAGGCGTCAGTCGAGAAGCGGTGTCAGCAGGAGGGGGGGAGAAGGAGGAACATGGGGGTAAGGTGAATCTGGAGGAGAGGGAAACACCTGAGAAAGGACAGCTCCTACTGCAAAATCTGACGCATCGGTGGTGACGATAAAGGGACGATCAAAATCGGGAAGGCGAAGAACCGGTGCGCAAGTCACCGCCTTCTTGAGRGCGCGGAAGGCGTCCTCGCAGAGAGGTGTCCAAAACCACGGTGGGTTCTTCCAGAGGAGGGTGGAGGTAAGGACGTAGGAATACCTAGCGTATCCCTGGATAAAATTACTATAGTAGCTGATGAGGCATAGAAAGCTGCGAAACTGCTTGGCAGATGTGGGGACGGGCCACTTTGCAATAGCAGTGATCTTCGCGTCGTCCATGTTGAGACCCTGGTCAGACACATAGTGTCCTAGGAAGTCCACTTTGCGCTGGGCAAGGCGGCACTTACTGAGCTTGGCATAGAAGCCATGCTTGCGTAAGCGCTGTAGGACATCGCGGAGGTGTCTGATATGGTCTTCTAAGGTACGAATGTAGACCAGGATGCCGTCCAGATATACGATAACGTATTCTTCAAGGATGTCCCTGAAGATGTCGTTCATCGCCGTCTGGAAGGTGGTGGGTGCATTGGTGAGGCCGAATGGCATCACCGTGAACTCGTGGTGGCCGAAGCGCGACCGAAAGGCGGTCTTCGGCTGGTCCTCTGCGGCAACGCGGATCTGGTGGTAACCGCTACGAAGATCGATCTTCGTGAAGAAGCGGTTGCCTGCCAGACGGTCAAAAAGCTTATCCGCGCGGGGCATGGGATAGTTGTTCTTAATCGTGTAACGGTTAAGGCCGCGATAATCGATGCAAAGACGGAGAGTTCCGTCCGCTTTGCGAGCAAAGAGGACAGGTGCACCCCAAGGGGAGTTACTAGGTTTAATGAAACCAAGTCGAAGGAGCTCCTCAAGCTGACGCTCGAGTTCCGTCGCCTCTGGAATCGAGAGTCGGTATGGTGCCTGATGGTGAACATGATAGTCAGGCACGAGCTGGATGGAATGCTCGACACCGCACATCGGGGAAATCCCGCTGTATGAGAAATACGGGAGGAAAGCGTCGCGGTAGTCCCGAATCAGGTCGCGAATGACGGGCTCTAAGTCAGCCGTGAACCGCATGAGTTCCTCAACATCTGCGTCGGCAGGAGACGTATGAGTGGACTCGGCAGTGAACGGCGTAGGAACCTAGGATGTCGAGGGGGTATCCGCAGGCTGCGGGGTGGATGTAGAGATTATGGCCGCGAAGATGGAGGAAGGGTTAGGGAAATCGGGCTCCAGTGAGATGAGCTCAACCTCGGGACAGAGTGAATCGTAGCGAAGAAGATCCATGACGTTCAGTGAGTAGAGCGTGACGTCCTCCTGTCGAATGAAGTGAGCAAACTGACGGGGAGAAGTGAAGGAGATGTCTGGGTGGGACCCAAAAGGACGAAGGTCCTGGGGAGGTAGGTTTGGAGGGGTGTCGCCCGTGGTTCCAATGAAGGGGACTCGATGGGTTTGACCACACTTCGTTTTGAGAATGAGTGTCTCAAACGCCCATTCGGCCTCTGTGCTACGGAACCGGTGAGACTAGGGAGTGCCAAGGATAAAGTCGTACCCAGTCTCCAGCACGTCGAAGTAGGCGGAGGAATGGTAGCGCCGAGGCGCCTGGGTACTATCCGGTGGCTGGAGGKYGAGGGAGAAGTGGAGGTCGGGGACCGTCTGATCGAARAAGCGCTGCGTCTTGTTATCTCCGAGGGTAACGGAGATAGGAGAGCGAGACCCAGAGGTAGCTAGGCGAGCTTCCTCAACCACTYGAGGGTGAACRAAATCTCCCTGCRAGCCAGAGTCCCATAAAGCGCGGTACACCCTTGTAGATGTCCCTAGGCGAATAGGGATGATGGGTAGGGTGCGATCAGGGTCAGAGAGCAAGGCGAGAAGACGACGGAGGACGTTGATGTGTCTCGTGAGGCGCTCCTAACGAGCCTGCAGAATGCTCAAGTCCAGGAGAGATGACACAACGTCATCGTGAGTCGCCAGCTGAGCGCCACAACGGGCTGTGCGAATGGCGCGACACGTCGGAAGTCTCAAGCGAGAAGCGCTAGATGCGGCAGTTTGCTGGGAGGCAAACGGTACCTCGATAGACGATGGGGTGGAGAGAACTGCGTCTATCGTGTTTTGAGGTTCCTCTGGTGGGGTAGCCAAAGGGGCAAACAGCGACTCGGTGGTCGGAAAGCCGGCTACGTGCGAGGCCTCAGGGGCACAGTGCACCGTGGCTAGGTGGATGGAGCTGGCCGGGCGGGGCCGGGGGGGGACTGAGATCGACGCTGACGAGAGATGTCAGCGTAGTGCCGATCGAGGGCGCTATGGTATGGACACCGTGAGGAGGTGTGTCCATCTAGGCCGCAACGAAGGCAGCCGCGCCGGGCCTCGAGGGCGGCACGCTCCTCAGGGGATAGAGCTCCGCGAGAAGGAACATAACCCTGCGGGAGGTCTATCTGAGGAACCGTGGGTGTGCGGGCGCCAGCGTGTGCAACCCGACTATGAGCACGACCCATGGCAGACATGGCCATCAGCAAGCGCTCGGCCACCGGAACAGTGTCGTCATCCAAGTGATACTGGATGACGTCTCGTAGCTCGATGTCCTCGGGGGCGTCCCCAAGGGTAGGGTCAAACTCGGCCGAGGCGTCCTCGCCGTACTCAGGAGAACTGTAGCGCTGAGAGAATGACGTTCCATGGCGGGTCGGGCGACGAAAACGACCAGCAAACGAGGAGCGACCTCGGGTAGTACCCCGAGATTGAGAGGTGGCGGCTGGCCGCGAAGAGGATGGGGCGACGGAGAAGCGACTGCACATCCTCTGGTACTGACGCGGAGCCTCGTATGCCTGCTCCGCGGAAGAGAATGATCGCCTCCATAGCTCTAGGCGATAGTCAGTCGGCAGGCTGACAAGGAACCGGTCGGTGAGTGTGACATCCGGTAGGAACGTCTCGTCACAAACAAGGCGAGCGTCCTGAAACACCCGGATGTGACGTTCCAGGTCGGCCGGTACAAAGGACCCGGACCATCTGGTCTGGGTGACGCGGTCTAAGGCGTCGGTGGCGTCATGACGAGCGCCGAAACGGTCCTGAAGGAAGGCCGCGAAGTCGGCCAGAGTGGGGACCTCACCCACGCGGAGGCGCTGGGTATAATGATCCTCCCACGCAGTGGAARGGCTACSTYGCAATTTGGTTGCGAGCACATCGCACCACAACTCCTGATGGGTGGTCGTCATAAAGAGCGTGCGCGTTGCTATCTGCAACCAGCGAGAGACACGGGTTGTGCCATCATACTCGGGAATGTCCGTGGTGGGCACAGGAGGATGTCCACTGTGCTGATGGCGGGGGGAGAGAGATCGAGGCGAGTGCACTGCGGCAGCGTAAGTCGAGGTCGCTGCAGGGGCAGAGGTGGGGGAAGGCTGTGGGCCGTGGCCGCTAGCGGATGGACCGGCAGACGAGGAGGCAACGGCCGCGGGCAGCTATCCTGGAATAGCTAGGTAGGAGGGAAGAGGTTGAGGAGAAGGTCGAGGGAAACGAGCCTGCATCATGGGGACCGAAGGGGTGGCAGAGGAAGAAGGGTGGGCAGCCTGTGATGGGTGAGCCTGTCTCAGAGCGAGAATCTCCGCCTGAGCCTGCGCAATGGTGGCCAATAAAGTGGCCACGCGCTGGGTGCGCGGGGTCGGAGGTGGAGGGGGCGGAGCAGGTCTCCCAGTGGGAGGAGGAATCCCAACCTGGGCGGTACCCTACTGTGGGGGTGGGGGGACAAAGGCGGGAAGAAGAGGGCGGAGCCGTATTGCCGCGACCGGTGCGGGAAGCTGGGAAGCAACACCGGTGTGGGTCGATGAAACTGCTGGGCCTCGAGGCGGTACCTGGACCGCAGCACCTACGGCAGTAGTAGAGACGGTAGGGGCGGCCGTGGCCGAGAAAACTGCCGCAACAGACGGGGTGGTCTGAGCGGCAGCAGCACTCGCCACTGCTGCAGGGGAGTGTTGGGCCAGGCCCGTAGAGGAGGGGGAACCACGATGTTTCCGACTCTGGAGTCATGGGGAGCCGGACTCAGACCCGGTAGGGGATGGGGTATAGGAGCGGTGGGGAGAGTGATGAGGAGAGCCCTTGAGGCTGTTGACGTCAAGGGCAAGCGTATTGATTTGCGCTTGCAACGGTCCAAACGTACTAAGTTGCGCCTGAATCGCTACGAGGGTGGCATGAAGGTCCATCGTGTCCGCAATGGCCTGACCCTGACCCGCTGGCTGAACGCTCACCTGGGAGGTGGACGGCGCCGCGGTGATCTCCTTAAAGGAACTCCCTTCCATGGTCGGAAGGGAAAGGGAGGTAGAGCTCACGGGTGTGTGTGGGGACAGGGGCCCGCCGATAAGAGGAAGGGGACCGTGGGAGCGGAGTGAGTATGTGTGAGTCGGCTCACCCCGGATTTGGTGGGTCGCGCGTGAGAAGAACGCGCCAAATCGCTCGAGGGGGGAGGAGCTGTTCGGGTCTAGGGTGCCCGACGGGAGGAGGCGGGAGAGTAGGGGGTTTAGAAGAACCCTAAACCCTAGAAAACCCTAAGAAAACCCTAACCGGAGTTT